TAAGCATATTGTCTCGGAGATGGATGTGGATATGGTGATTGTAAATGAAAATGACGGCTCCACATTAATGTGGAGCTGAAACAAGTTGAATATTACGAAGAATTTTTGTCAATCGACAACGAACTTCAACTCTATGATGGAAATGAAGAATGCGATGCTGCCATTGTTGCTCGAATAGCAGCAAAACACACGACAGCAACAGAATACCATAGAAGTGATGAAGAGAACCCTAACGTGTTGATACCAGTCACAAAACAGGATGCAAGAAAATGCATTGAAACATTGCACCGCTATTTCATGCAGGAAGGAAATGAAGGTAGTCCTATGACTGCGTTACATGTTTGTGGTGATTTTGTGCGAATGCAGTCTGTTAAAAGAATGCGTCAAACCACACTGGATACGGTCTTCAAACGCTGAATGGAATTCGGTAATCCTTTTGTATAAAACTGTACTTCACATGCTGAATATCTTGCAGGTCGTTACGAAGAATTTGTTTGTAAATTTCTTTTCCAGTGAACAAAGTTCGTTATCAAAGCAGTTCTTTTGTGTTTGCTATAAATATATGTCGCCAATACAGGTCATAATAGTAGTTTCCTATGTTATGTATAGCACGTCCCATCTTGTTACATCGGGTAACTTCGGTTAATCGGACCAGCCGCTTAATAGGACCAAAATGGTCTGGTCCCGATGTGGTCCGATTAACCGGAATCGACTATATATATATATATATATATATATATATATATATATATATATATATATATATATATATATATATATATATATATATATATATATATATATATATATATATATATATATATATATATATATATATATATATATGGCCTCATGCTGAGGCTGATGTCGCATTCATGATGCTTCTACACCGCATTTGGTCTAAAGCAACTTACACTAGGTCTTTTATGCTGGTTAAATCCATTCTGCTTTATTTGGCTTATTCCGCCCACAAGAATAATCTTCCATCAACTGGTACTCGCTGCTTACGCTAATTGTGGTTATCTTCGTTAATTTTTCGTGTTTGTTGAATATTTTTAAATAAGTTGTGGGCATTTTGTACCTATCGCGGATTCGCTGTCAAACAACTTACTACATATGCTAATTTAGCAGTTATGTCGGCATAGCCGTATGCGTAAACAAATATATATCATTTGCTAATGTTATTCCAAGTGATTGGCTGTTGTTGAACATCCCCGGTGTGATAAAGTCTCTACCTGTCTATTACCCACTACCTCTTGCATACTGGCTCCAGGAGACTGTTGGTCGTCGCTGGAAGGGACGGGCTTCACGGTCCTTGTGGCCGTGCTAGACTCGAAGCATGGTTCCATGCACTCAGTGTGGAACGGACTACAGTCCAACCACCGCCTTGTGTGCGCTTGATTCCCAAATACATCGTGCTTGTGTTTGCCTCTGCAGGAGTGTGAGCCGCCTCCGTTGGTGAAAAGTGGCTCCCATCCACATGCCTCCTGCTCTTATTCATTCGGGTTTACACTGGATATGAGGTGTATGGTTGAAGCTGTGGGTGGTACAGCGCAAGCCACCCATGATCCCTCTGTACGCGAAGGCGTCCTGTGCCTGTACCTGTGGAGGCCACAGTGACAGGAAAATCCGAAACCGGATGCCGCCAAGCATATATTATGCAACACTTGGCAGTGCCACAACAAAAACAAAGACGGAAAAACGGGTAGTCAGTGAAAGGGTTTGGAAGGTTAATGCTTTGTGTGAGCAGAGATCTTCCCGGTTGCCAAAGCCAATAGAAGAGGTTGACTGAAAGGGGCTCACCCTGAGCATTTGGTCATAAAAATCTGACCCGAAAGGCAGCGGGGCGTTTAACGAAGAGCGTTGACAGCAGGGTAGCTCATTCGACTTCTTTGTGTACTGTAGAAGTCCACAGAGTAGCCGGCGACTAACAAGGTTGTTCAGCCACCCTCCGTTAGGTACTCGCCCCCATTTACAGGAGTGAGTGGTCAGTGACCCTACAGCCCGTCACATTGGCTTTGACACACCGTCGTACGAGCTATTGTGGTATTTGGTGGAGAACCAGGTTACTAGCCCAGAACTCCCAACACTCTGGGATGCTGCCGCTGATTGTCCGCGACTGCTTATTTATCTCGACTGCAAGGCAAACGAGACTTATTCGCAGTTACCTCCACAAGGAAGACATTCTCCAATCCGCAACCTGCGGACGCGCCAGATAACGTACAGCTTCCGCCATAGATAACCAGTAGGAAAGTAACATTGACTTGGAAGAAAGTAGATGCTGTATGCTAACTATAAGCAGATATGGGAACTATAGAATGGTTGCGAAAGTGGCAGAGGAGTAGGACACACATTAGTACATTTCAAACGACAACGATTCGGTACGGTGTTACTGTTGAAAAAAACGATGCATCACGGACAGGCAGTTTAGATAACAAACGAAAATTAAAGCACGTTTGATTCGCTGATCACTTGGAAATGGCAAGTCCAGTTAAACTGATAAACATAGAGAAGGCGGTGACATCAGAGTGAGTGAGGCGTGTCTAAATTGGACACATATCGCATATTTTTGGTGCGGTGGAGTAACACGAACTCACCTGCATAATAGCATCCGTTAAAGGCGTCACGTAAGCGATGGCAGAAACCTAGAGCATTTTGTTCCCCACTATAAAGCAGTGTGATGAGACTTAAGCGCGTTGTTCTTACAGCACAATTTTCTCTCTATATCTGTGCTTGCGGTTACATATACAACAGCTGGACAGAGAGGAGGTTTGAATAGCACGGTAGGAAGACGAAAACTGGTAGATGCATGCATTTCGTATTGTCTCCTCAGTACCATTAACGATAACCGGTATGCAACTATATACTTAAATATGCTTGTGACCGAATGAGCATGGGGTGCAAAATGAATGACAGAAGTTCCACCCCTATATTCACGGCAGTCTTAAGCTGATTAAATAATTGCTTTTGAACACACAGGGTCGGCCTCATCCAGCTTATCGCAATGGCCCCGGCGAAACGGAGGAAGCGGGGGATTAGGGTAACGTAATACAAGTGTGAACGCTGATCCGAGCTCTATCCGGTGACGCGTAGGCAGTAGGTGTTTACCTATTGAGGAAGCTGGCGGCTTGCGCAAGCATGGAACTTCAATGGGACAGGGATGCTGGTCAATTTCACCTTAAACCCACTTTGGCACGTGTTCCTTTATTCGGGAAGTCAAAGACCGATTGGTTCTGCAAAAGGTTATCCACGTAGATTTATAGAGAGACACTGTCAACAGCGATGCCTGAAAGACTTGGTGCATATGGCAGCCAAGAAAAAGATCTATATCGAGTTGCCTTTCAAGGGTGACTTTACTGTATTGAAAACCACGAAACGTTTAATCTCTGCTACGCAGAGAAGTTACTGTGCTGCTCAGGTTGTGGTCATCAATAGAACCTGTAACTTGCCGGTGCCTCCAACGAAGGAACCTCAACCGATAGCGGCCAACGCACACTGCATATACAAATTCGTGTGAGACTGCGGAGACAGTTACATAGGCAGAACCAATCGGTCTTTGGCTCCCCGAATAAAGGAACACGTGCCAAGGTGGGTTCAACGTGAACTTGACCAGAATCCCTGTCCCACTGAAGTTCCGTGCTTGCGCAAACCGCCAGCTTCCTCAATAGGTAAACACCTACTGCCTACGCGTCACCGGATAGAGCTCGGATCAGCGTTCACACTTGTATTACGTTACCCTAATCCCCGCTTCCTCCGTTTCGCCGGGGCCATTGCGATAAGCTGGATGAGGCCGACCCTGTGTGTTCAAAAGCAATTATTTATCAGCTTAAGACTGCCGTGGACATAGGGGTGGAACTTCCGTCATTCATTTTGCACCTCATGCTTATTCGGTCACACGCATATTTAAGTATATAGTTGCATACCGGTTATTGTTAATGGTACTGAGGAGACAATACGAAATGCATGCATCTACCGGTTTTCGTCTTCTTACCGTGCTTTTCAAATTTCTGAAGGGAACAAATTGCTTTAAATTTCTCAAATAAGAGAGGAGGATATGTATCCGCGAAATCTAGCCCTCAGTGGTACCAGATTACCTGCTAGTTATGTTGTACAGCACTTACTCGACTGTTCCAATCGCCGAAACCCTCCGCGAAGCATCCAAGATTATCAGTATACAGAACAATCCCAAACTGTGGCGTTTTGCTGAGGCTTCCGTCATCCGGAGATTGAAGCCTAACCTATGCAAACAACTTGAGTTTGTGATCAACTTTGTTTTACCTTGGTAGTGTGTACCTGCCCCATTAGCACAACTAACTAACAATTTCTGGGATCCACCTGTCATTTCTGACGGTGTGAAGTGCGCACCTATTGTTTGTAAGCAGCCGATGAGAATACAAGAAACATAGTGAATTCAGATTATCCCGCTAAAACGTTGGTTGTTCTTGCCCAGTTGATTTGTAATTATAACCACAAAACGCGGATAATGAGGTCTTCTGGGTCGATCACTGAGCACTTACTGAGGAGACAGCCTCGTACACACCTGGAAAAATGCCACCCCGCCATTTAATCTCACCACTGGGACTTGTCATTGGCGTGCTTGCCCCTCTCCCACAGGAACTGAATGAACCCATAACCTCTCGACGCCACTGTCTAATGCCAGCCACTGGGCAAAGGCAACGATAGTAGATCCTCCCGATTTGCAAGCTCCAATTGCGACAAAGTGTGGCTTATTCTTTACTGAGGGGAGGAACATCCATCAGTATGGAATGTGTCGTAGTACAATCCAATTGAATAGCAATAACAAATGAAGAGAAAACATGAAACAGAGAAAAAAGTACGATTATTTTGGTTATGCGTTAAGCCACGAGTTTGGCCGAGAATGGGGTTGGTCCCCACACTCCCGACTTCCCACAAGATAGTTCACATGTAGAGACCAGGCAAGCAGCCAAACTAAGCTGAGGTGAACCGTGGTTAGAAACGAGGTTCCCAGTCCTACTCACCATAATAAATGCGTTCCGGTTCAGATAGCGCAACACCTTCTCCAAACACCACAGGCAACAGCAACAGCAGCGCACTAGGGTCTGGGTGCACAGGTTGTTGTACTTTTTCAATTTTGCATCCACATACTCGAGCAGTACACGTAACCATTGTAACAAGGCGATTAACAGTGAGCCGAATGCCAGTGAGCCAAAATGATAGCAAACCGCACGATAGAGACTCCACCAAACCGGACACCTGGGCATTGAGGCGGGGGCACGTCGGGAGAAGTAGTAATGAGCGTATGCGCCGGCGAGGGTCATTTCGGCCAGAGAGCGCACGAAATTGACCGACCAGAAGAACATGAACAAGTTGAAGAATTGAAGGAAGATGGTATATCTGGGGAAAGGGGGGAATGTGAAGAAAATATAGCATGTTGACGTTCAACCCAAGCGTAAACAGAAAAATCGTAATCATGGAGCTAAATGCAGACGACCAGCAAGCTATTCTGCACCGTAACCGAAAGGACTGCGTGGTTCACGTAGGCAACCGTAAGGTTAAGTAGACAATGGGGTGTGGGGCAATGAAAGACACAAGGAGGCTACGAGGCCGCTTTTATATCGTAATAGCAAAGATTTGAGCAAGATTTCACGCTGTTCCTTAGAAGGATTTCTTGGCGGATTTATATCGAACTTTAAGTGCCCAATTAACAATCTCACAGCATCACCCCATACGCAACAGTTATATGCCGGAGAACTTGAACAATGAGTTGGTGTTGTACTGTCGAACAACCTCCTCGTGGTGTCAGCTGGGTGGTTCGGGATTATCCCGTACCAGCGAATGGTTCGGCGGCAGTGTTCCAGGACGTGGTGGGTTTTTTCCTGGCAAGCGTTCTCCCTATAAAAAGCCACATATGTCCGTTTAACAACACTGTGACGTGGCGGATGTGACTCGCCACTAAATAAAATCACTGCCTCTTGCCTCTCTCTGACAGGCATTGTAATTCAAGGGTGTGTTAGGCCCCTGGTCCTATGCAGTCCTAAAGGCGTATGATCCACTTGTTTGGTCAGCGGCTCCCAACGGTTTGTGATACCCGCATATCGCCCTGCCGCCTTGTAGATTAGATCCTTGATCAAAGGCTCGGGGTGGGGCCCCCCAAGACAACCCTCTACTTCGACCTGGGCAACCGGGTAATATCTCGCCCACTGACGAACCATGGACTTAAAACCGCAACCACTCACCCGCTCTCTTGCTGCTACCATGCTATTCACTCATATTACAATGCCAACTGCACAAGCACACGCCACCATTATATCTACCCTTCCCTTGTACCATTCACACCCAATTTTACCTGATTCCTCTATGGCGATCAACCCCACCTACACCGATGAACCTGTTCCCGTGACATCTGCCAACTCCACCACACAGTGCTCAACAGAGAGCTGCCAGTCCCAAAGTCCCCCATCTTCGCTCCTGCAACCCGGAACGTAGTTCAAACTTGCAGTCTGCAACGTAAGCAAATTACTGCAGATCGGTCACCAAGCTGGACTTGCACGCACGCTAGAGACCCTTGGAATTGATATCTGCTGCCTGACTGAAACACGACTCCAGGACTCTAACTTGCTCTACCAGCTAGTGTCACCGCTCCACCCACGCACCCGCTTCCATCTACGCCTCTCTAGTGATGCCGAGTCTACCGCATCTGGGAAAGCTGGTGTTGGAATCGCCCTCAGTGCTAGAGCTGAGACTGCTTTGATTGATTGAATTCCGATCAACATCCGTCTTTGTGCGATGAGACTCCATAGCTCTTGTAAAGTTAGCAGACGTGGAGTCGAAAATCATCCTCTCTTCGGGATCTCTATCTACGCGCCTACTGACTGTAGCTCGGACACCGTCAAAGACCAGTTCTATCAAAACCTTCATGAGCTGCTCTTAAGGGCTACTAAAACAGACATCATTGCTTTGGCAGGTGAGTTCAACGCGCTTGTCGGTCATCTGCTGCCATGTGAGCGCAACCTCGGGGGACCGCATGGATATGATGATGTTCGCTCAGACAATGGAGAGAGACTGCTCAGTCTGTGTGCTGATAAGCAACTATTCCCCTCCAGCACCAGCTTTTTTCATGATGGACGCCAGTAAGCCACTTGGCGCCCCCCATCATCAACCCAGCGCTGGTCACAGATTGACCACATAGCCATAAGTCGCAGGTGGCGCGGCAGCGTACGCGACTGCCGATCATTTTGGTCAACATGCGTCGTTACCGATCATGAAATGGTATATGCGACCGTTTGCATGCGGTTTCGGTGGTTCACCTAAGTCAAAACACACCCGACGGAACACCTACAAGTTGGAGGACCCAATAGCGAAGAATGAGTATCAACAAAGGCTTCGTGAAAATCTCGCTCTATCTCACACATTGGATGTTGATCAACACTGGTCAAGTCCGCAACAAGCCTTGCTGTCGGCCGGTTTGTCCAGCTGTGGCCTCGCTCGCTCCACTCGCAAAGCTGGATCTCGAGAAGATCCTCGGAATTGCTGGATCGCCAACGGGCGGCGCCTGCTAGCGCAGAGTACAATGAACACCGCCTGTCTATTACGCAACAGCTGAAAGCAAGCCTTCGCTCTGATCGTGAATCTTGGTGGTCAAAACAAGCTGATGAGATGGAAGCCGCTGCATCAGCTGGAAACTTCCTCCGTCTATTTTACATCATCAGGGCCACCGGTTGCAATTTCCATGCTATCAGCCAGACGATTTGCGAATCAGACGGCAGATCATTAACATTCACAGGCGATTGGGTCGCTGGGCAGAGCATTTCGCTCTTCAATTCAAGCAACCAACACAGCCCCATGTGACACCTCCAGCCCCAATGTATGATGCTTGGCCTGTCTCCACATTCCCCCCCCCCAAATGAAGCAGAGATTCGAAATGCAATCCAATCCTTGAAACGTCACAAGGCTCCGGGTCCCGATAGCCTACCACCGGCTCTATTCAAAGATGGTGGGAGTGTACTTGTCAGCGAAATCCTATCGCTGTTCACGAAAGTTTGGACTGAGGAGAAGGTTCCGAACTCATGGAGAGAATCGGTCATTGTTCCGATTCACAAGAAGGTCTCCCGCGACGACTGCTGCAACTACCGCGGAATCTCGTTAATCTCAGTCGAATCCAAAATTTTCGTGTCGGTCCTACTTAGTAGGCTTTCGACGACTAGAGAGGAGGTTTCCCGAGAAGAACAAGCCGGATTTCGTCCAGACCGCGGCTGCATCGACCAAATCTTCACGCTTCGGCAAGTTCTCGAACTTCGTCACATCCACCGGCGGCCAACAATCGTAGTGTTTTTGGACATCCGAGCGGCATTTGATTCAGTAGATAGATCTGCGTTGTGGAACTGTTTACTGAAGAAAGGTGTGCCCGACAAGTTTGTAACTATCCTGAAAGAACTTTACAGTCACGTCGGGCAAAGTCAGGGCTTACGGCACGCACTATTCTTCATTTGCTGTGACCAGCGGTGTTCGCTAAGGTTGCCCTATTTCACCTTTCCTCTTCAATTTCGCCATCGAAGATGTTCTCCAAAGAGCACTGGAAGGTGTCCAGGACTGCGGTGTTGAGCTCCTCCCTGGAGACAGAGTCACGGACTTGGACTACGCCGATGATATCGCCTTGCTGGGGGACGACCCACAATCCGTCCAGAGCGCTTTAGACCGTTTGGCGATGGAGGCGTCTAAGTATGCTTTGTGCTTTACTCCGAGAAAATGTGAAACGCTGCTCCAGGACTGGCAGGTGTCTGAACCCGCGCTCACCATTGCTGGATATGTTCTGGAGCAAGTCCCTTGCTTTACTTATCTAGGGAGTTGCATCACGGCTGGTGGCGGTGTTGGAGATGAAGTCTCACAACGGATTGCAAAGACCAGCCTTACATTCATCAAACTAAGACACCTATGACGTCGTCGTGATGTCAGTCTCAAGCTCAAGGGCAGGGTGTACAATGCTTCCGTCCGTACAGTACTCTTGTACGGCTGTGAGACAGCCTTTCGCTCGGAAGATATGAAGCGGCTGTCAGTCTTCGACAATCACTGTCTACGAAGGATTGCTCGGGTGTGGTGGCAACACCACGTAAGCAACGCAGAGGTGCGAGACCGCGTGCTTGGAGCAAATAGTGCCAGTCTTCAGGACATTATTATCCGACATCGCATGCCTTGTTTCGGGCACATTCTGCGCACGCCAGCCCATCGCCTTCCACCTCGAGCGCTATTTGCACTCTCAGGGAGCGATTGGAAAAAGTGCCGCGGTGGACAGCCAATGACGTGGAGAAGGTGCATGAAGAAGGCAACCTCAAGTTTGGCGGCAGTCGGACCAGTTCGTCTTCCAGGTTGGGGAACCACGAGATGCTGAATCGCAGTGGTTGGAAACATTAGACAACATGGCCCGCAACAGACATTAGTGGCGTCAATGTTGTTCTGCCATTTTACCATCCCTTTAATACACACAAAAATTCACAAAACAAAATGGCGTGTGTAAAACCAAAAAATATCGTTTCCCATTTTTTAACCGCAGTTCGTGTTCCCATCTTCTGCACTTTTTTCTGCTGCCATGGTTCTGATGGCACAATGTCTGTTAACAGACTGTGAATAAATATATATAGTTGTATTGCCGTAATTGCTCGCTGATGATGGTAGTGACGACGTGTGTGTGGTGGCCAGATTGCTTCCTTCTGTAAAAGACTCAACGTCATCGCTCCCATTTGCTTGCAATAATCGCAATAACCGCATTATTAATTCGGTGTACAAACTTAGTGCTCAACAACCTTACCCAATGGGTTTACGAATGACTTTAGTGTCGCTCTACTTATACATGCTAAACCCGGCACTTTGGTTACGAAAAACGTTCATTATAAAATATTAATGGTAAATCGACAAGGGAGAAAACAGTATCGTCACTGTCTTTGTCGGCCTCACAATGAAGCCGCGGTTCGTATAGTCCTGTTACGTTGCCAGTTTAATGATCTGTTTACTGACTACAGTTTGCGCTTGTTCAGGATTCGGGTTAGTCAGCAGGCGTCTTGCCGAGGTCCTCACATTCGAAAACATATTTTCCACTGGACACGGCATGTGGAAACAAGGTGACAGATATTTCAGCTGACAGCACGAGCCAACGATCCTCATTAGATCATCCGGCATGTGCATTCTGGCGTCGTCTATGATCAGCCATGTACCATTCATCTCCGTTCTACAGTGTGAACGCGTCACAAGCACTTTGACGAACATCGAGACGTTTGCACCGTTGCAGGTGCTATCGTTGATGATGCTTGAATAAATGATGTTTCGATTATTTATTGCTAAATTCATCGTCGACATGCGACCTCTGACTGTGGACAAAAAGGCATAAGCGCACGCACCTTTTC